AGTATGCTACTAAAGCTTAACTTTCATCTCCCAGAAAACAGACATTCAGTAACATTTGTGTTAGATTTTCTCATATGTGTTTCTCATATTCCTTGATCTACATTTATTCCCTCCAGATATCAAACAATCTTACAATATGTACAGCCAAAGAGTAAGAAATACTACAACCATTTTATGTTACCCTTGAAGAGTATTGCTTCCAACAGTCTGTAAAGGCAAAGTCTTCTACATAAAGCCTGCAAAGCATTTCTGATTTTCATATGTTTTCAGAACTAATTTGCAGAACCTCCATTCTACAAAATGCATGAAAGTAGGATAAGGTCTACTAACATGTTTGTTATCATCCAGTAATTCCTGAAAAGCAAATACTTAGAAGATATCTCACAATGTTTTGATTAAGCATACAATGAAAACGGAGAGGAAAGGGGGTCTGTCTGGTAACTGCATCTTAGTTCATTTCAGCTGCATTTTCAGAAGCATGTAATTGTTCAAGGCATTATCTTTTTTTCTGCACAAAAGGAATTCAGTTACTTGCAGACTGCAATTCCTGAGCCAAATTCAACAGACTGTGATGCTGTAAGAGGATTTGCAAATTTTAACCATCTCATCCATTACAAAACATAAAGATCAACTTGAGTGTCTGGGCTGATGAACAGCCACACTCGGGCTTAGCTATTTAATTCAGAAGTTCAATACATCAGAACAGACATCTAAATCTCAGGTAGTTTGTAAGTACCACAATTGCTAAACCCACAAAACTCTGTATTTATTTTAAAAAAGCAGAGTTACAATTTAATCCAAGGAAGCATAGAATAAAAAATAATTATTCATCTCAATAAATGTTTCTAAAATGGGAAAAATGGAAGAGCAGTTGTGAAATGCTTCTGACCACCAGCAGTAAAGCTGGCTATAAATGCCTGTCTGCTTAACAACTATTTAAATATTCCTAGCAAATATTTTCAATTATTGTTACTAAAGGTAGGAATCTTTGAGGTTGCTCAGACTCCAGACCAATATTACTTAAACCAAAAGATTTATGGCTTCTCACTTCAATATTTGTGATGAAAGTAACTTGTCACACATCTAAGAACACACAAATCATCTAGGCAGGACCAGGTTTAAAGCTACTTAATGGCACACACTGGAAGACTAACACCTGACAACTTTGCAATGTATGCTGTTCAGGATTTCAAGGTGCAGCAGGCACCAAAAAAACCACAACAGCGACAGCTTGAAATCCTGAACAAATTTCCAGTGTCCTCAAATTTTGGTTGGACACAGTCCCAACAGGCTACAATATTTCTTTCAGTTTTCCCTGTTTCTTTCAGGTTTTCTGAATTACAAGACACCTAATTAGGGCAACAAACATAAAGGTAAGAAAAAGGAAAGGGCATCTGAAAAGCATTTTGAGGGAAAACCCTCAGGTCCTTTTGTTACTTAGGCTTACAACAAGAATTCCAAGGCCAGGAAAGCACTGGTAGAGAAAGCTTTCTGCAAGTGTAATATTCAAAAACCATCTGTTAAGTGGTATAGCACACCTTTTATGTCAGCAAATGAGTGTCAACAGATGTGCTCTTTTAACTGAAAGATTTCCTAAACTCCAGTTTACTACACTATACTGACCAGTAATATGAAATGGTGCCAGTAGAATTATGAAACCCAGGAGAGGCTGATCTAACAGCAATCGAAAAAAATCGCCTACCTACAATTTCCTTTACCAGGAGGTGCACCATAAAACAGGCCCACTCTGCATCCTCTACACAGAACACATTTTCTCTTTATTTTCCAACAGAAATACCTCTAGCCTTAGAATTCTGAAGGTTGAGGAGGCTAGCACATGCACATACAACACACATTACACTCCTCTTCTGCAGATGAAGGAAAACCAGAATTCCAATCCTTAGTGCTTCTGTCACTGCCCAGTGGCACTGCAAAAGCATCATTATCACTATTGCCTAGTAACAGGCTATGGGCCTTAGGCTGACTTTACCTTATGCTGGCACTTCGAGACTCTAGTCTTGGCCTATTAGGCGAGTTACGAGCTTATTACGAGCCCCAAAATGGAGCCTGGCATGAGGTTTCACTTCTTAACGTGTTGAGTCTAAGTTTAGGATTCTGAAATACAGGCACAGGACCATAAATAAGTCACATATGGTCCATTACTAGTCAAGAAGTTTAAACTTTGAGAGCTAGGAAAAGACTGCTTTACACATAACAAGAAAAGAAGAAGCTAAGCATGAAAAATTCAGATGAACAATGGAATAAGGCACCTGGTATGGCTGGGAAGATAACATTCTCAGGCACTGAGTAATAGTCCAGGGGGCAGATGACGAAGCCTGCGAGCAGTCTAGAAATACAAAATCTTTGATGAAAAGGCAACATTTTGAACATGAGTGGTGCGATCATCACAGGAATCATCACCACAGGACCACTGTGGGACTGCCACAGTACTAGCATGCCTTTTACTGTCCCTGCCTTCTTGAAGGACTCTTTCCTTCCTGGCTTGATCCAATAGCCCTTATGGCCCCTCCAATAGCAAGGAGAGATTTCCCTCTCTCCCACATGCTTAATTCTTCAAGGATCCTTTGACCCATCAGCTAATCATCCAGGGCTACATACAGCTTCTGGCTAGATGATCTTCTCTAAAGATCATTCAAAAGGATGATTCTGTTGCTAAACTTAGGAAAGGTAATAAGAAACAAAGTGGTACATTTACCCTTTCTTTCTAGAGGCATGTTTATAGTAAAATTGTCATTATTAGGAATTAAAATTATTTACTTATGGCCAATCATTAGCTAAAAAATGTTTAAAAAGTAAAATGTAAACATTCAGGCAATCACAGCCAATTTCTGTGAAAGAAAGACCTTGAACAGGATGCACAGTTCCATTTACAAAAGCAGTCCATAACTGCTATAGGGTAAAAGATCATCATCATTGCAACATCTAGTAGGAGCATGAGGCCTTGAGAGAGGTGCATATCCCTAAGACCTGTATCCATTTACAGAAGCAAGTCTGGAATCCAGTGAGTCTATAGAGAATAAGTGAATCTACAGAGAAAATTCAGAAGTATTATGGTACTGTTCTGGAGCAGAGGTAGAAGCCTATGGGGAAATAGAAAAAAAAAAATCACGAGTTGTTGGCTTTTGTAACCAAGGGATGTCATCTAGGAAAGCAGGACCACTGGTAACAGTGTTGGTTTGGTACATCTGCCTAAAAAGGAAAACCAATCCTCTTCTCTTAGGAAGCAAATCCAGGGGTTTACCAAAAGGACTATTATAAGAAAAGTTACAGATGTGAAGCAGAAATAGTGGGAGATCACTGTTTCTGCCCTGCTCTTTATGTATCTGAAAATCAAAATGGAAACACACAAGAGGTAGTTGCAAGTACTTGCAATTTTGAATTGATGTAAGGACAAGGCGCAGGCAAGGAAGCATAAAGGCTGAAATGTAGACATTAATTTGCAGTTAGCAAGCAACATAAGTGGCAACACAGAAATGCTTCATATTAAAAGTAAGAAGAAAGGAAATATAGAACCTTAATGGGAAAGAAGAACAAGCAACCTGCGTTACAAAAGATTGAAATACTCAATTCCTTTTGTCTACTGCCTTCATAAAAATGGTGATATCTGATCACAAACTGGTATGTATTAGAGCCTGAGGGCAAGTTAAATTTAGTGCATCCTTAGAGAGCTAGATGAACAATCTATAAATTATCAGTGATAATTTTTCAAACTGATTATCTTGGAGGTTAGAGAATACCACAGGGCTGCAATGGGGGAAACAGAAAATACATCTTTAAAAAGGGGCCCAAAAGGATGATCTGGGGAATCTAGATAGCAGTGAAATTTATATTCCTACATAAGTATTAGAACAAATTATTAAAAAGATAATTTATAAGCATCAGAAGACATGAAAGCTGTAAAACAAGCTAACATGAATTTGCCAAGAACATGCTTCTGTCAAAACAATATTATTTCCTCCTCTTACTGAACAGCTTGCCCTATGGTTGCAGCAATAGACGAACTAATTTTCAACTGCAGTAAAGCTTATAAAAATGTTTTGGTGCTGCTTTGCTACATTTCCATTATCAACCTCTGGAAAATTAATTATATAAAGGCAGTGTGGTTAAAAAATAAACCTCTATATTAACATTTTATTATCAAGGTGGAAAGCAAGTGGTCATAATTCATTTAACTGATTGCTTAGAAAACACACCCACATGGAATTTACAATAATGTAAGAAATCAAATGGAGAAAAACAAAAAGGGAAAAGAACATCTAGGCAGCAACACAGTGGGAACATACCTTGTAATTAAAATTAAATGTATATGTATCAACCCTGTGATGTTACAGGAAGAAAAAAGCATTTTCAAACTGCATTAGTCTAGTAAGTTATTAACTGTTGTTAGAAGATAGACCACTTAACTTAAGGATCAAATTTTCACAAATGCATTCTTACACATCTGGAAAGTGCACAGCAAGCATGGGAAATGTCATACATTTTTCTAGAGAAACCTATTTACTTGCCTGTGGCTTCCTTGTTAGTTCTTGTATCTATGTACATTACATGCAAACAGTAAACTACTGTTCTGAAAATGTCCTTGGATGTTCATAAAATTTAATCCACATTTTCCTCAGCAATAACTGTTTCAATACAGTATTTGATAGTTTAATATTTGAATATACTACTTCAATATTTACACTTGCAATTTCTTAAGGCATACATTAGGTTCCTACTTCTTACATTCCTTAGCATGTTTTAATGGTTGTAGTAAATAAGATCAAGAAGCACTCCTTAGGTTTTCAAGTAAACAACTGTTGACATCAAAATCAGAACTTGAAATTAATTTACCAGATACTGATTAGCATAACAGAAATTTTCTGTAGTAGACGTTTCTGAAACCAAGGTATATCAATTGATATATATATATATTGATATATATTGATATATATGTATGTATATGTATATATAGTAGCACATAAATCTGTTAAGAGTCTTACCATTAATTACTGGGGTATAAACAACAATTCCAACTAAGTTAGGATCAGATACAGTTGTGTCCAGAATAAGGCCACCAATACTGAAAATCAAAGTACAATATTTAGAAAAGGCAAGTAATTACATTAATTAGTATTTCAAAACTTTTTTAGCAATCTTTCTTACAACATCTTCAGGTCACAATTTTCTTTGCAGTTCATCTCACCTCTACCTCCATTGCCTTGTCCTCACTAGAAACTAACATCACTATAGTTTTTTATGTATTAAAGTTGGCTTACTGTATTAGAAAGACCTTCAAATTTCAGCCAATCACTCCAGTTTTAAGAGTTATGGTTTTCATTCGACTTAATAATCTCTTAGATCTGTGTGCAGTCTTGACTGGAGGAGATGAATAGCTTGCCGTTTCTTCATTTGACACGGCACACTCCTGCCACTCATTGCCACAGGCTACTGCAGCTTCCCCCACACATTCCCACCGTGACTTAACTTTGTAACTTCCTCGTTTTGGGAAGATTAAAGTTATTCACACACTGCATTCTGGAAGTTCCTTAAATGCTTCTTTTAAGTACAATCAGGTGTTAAATAAGATATATAGACAACGGGTGACTATCAAGACAAAGGAAGACAAATAGACTTACCTGCTTATAACCATGGCAGTTATAACAGGCTCCCATCCTGAATGGAGAACAGTTCTGGTAGCTGGGTGTTTGGCAGCTATGACAATCCCCATCGGAGTCAGAGCCAAAAAAAAGGCACCAACCAAAGGAGATACATAGTAATATGTCTCTAAAATAATAATATAGGAAAAACAAACAAAAAACCCTGTTTTACTTTCAAGACTTCTCTCCAAGGTTTTCCTAATTTAGAACTCCAAAATAAATTACAACCCACATCATGTAATTGAGGAATTTTAATACTCTTTATTGCTACTGTACCTAAAGTTTCAACTACTGCACTAAACAAGATGGTTAACATCTGCCATCTGTGATCAGTTCCCCATCTTTTCAAGGACAGAACTGTCTGTGCAAAGCAGAAATTTTGAAGAGGATTTTTGTCTGATGTTTTATGACAAAAATGCAGTAAGAATGTGGAATACAAAACATTTTTGTAACATATCTACTAGAAAAAAAGAAAAATTGAATGCATTGAAAATGCATGTTGTTTATACACAAATTCATAGCATATGTACACCCCCTCATTTCCAAAGCACAGATAATATGGTAATTTTCCCAGAAAGAGCATTTTCTAAAATGATGCAAGCACAATGTGCAATATTGAGACATTTATATCAGTAGCTCAGTTGATTTATAACCAGTTTGAGCCTGAACTTTCACAGCCACAGTTCTGCTGCTTTCACCTATCCATCAGAACAGCATCATATTTCACAGGAGCACAATTGCAAGCACCATCAAGTACCATCATAAAGCTGAGCTACTAAGGCAAATGGCTGCCTCCACAGAAAGCACACTGATTTTTTTCAGATTCCTTGATTTTATAATCCCATCCACAGAAACTATTACAGTGATCCATGACTTCCTTATTCTACAGTGAGGTAAATAATGGAAAATTTATCACAGCCACAGTTCTGCTGCTTTCACCTATCCATCAGAACAGCATCATATTTCACAGGAGCACAATTGCAAGCACCATCAAGTACCATCATAAAGCTGAGCTACTAAGGCAAATGGCTGCCTCCACAGAAAGCACACTGATTTTTTTCAGATTCCTTGATTTTATAATCCCATCCACAGAAACTATTACAGTGATCCATGACTTCCTTATTCTACAGTGAGGTAAATAATGGAAAATTTATCCTAGTTGCAAATACACACACACACACACACACACACACACACACACATTAACTATGCAAACATTCCACTTTAATATATATTTAGTTTTATGAGAAACACGGTCTTGTATTTAGTGTTAAATATATTTTGTCTAAAATTTCAGAATTTTGATAAGTCTTAATGCAAAATACATCCTAAAATAACAGGTTGAAGTAGTTAATGTAGAACACACCAAAGAAGAATATTTAGTATATAGAAAAGTATTCTCACCCATGTCTTAAGGCTTATCACAAAGGCTGCAAACTCAAGCAATTACTACTTTGATCTTATCTTGGTGGAGCTAAAATTACTCCTGGAAGAACTGCTGCAGAGTTCTTAGAAGTAACTATCCTGTATTGACTGGTAACAACCTCTGCAGCAAAGCTAGCAGAAAAGATAGTAAGATACCTTTCACTGGGCTATCTAAAAGTAGAAAGATACTAGAATGAGACAAATTCCAAAAGCAAAGTAATTTTTCCTTATCTAACCATGCTACAGTATATTATCTCCTACTTCCTTTGCAGTGCCTTTTTTTTTACTCTTTTCTCCTCTTCCTATGAACTAAGAAAATAATTCTTACTCAGAGTATTCACATACACAATTCCTTTATTTAGTAACTATAGTTTTGTTTTAACAAACTTAACAAAAATGACGAAAAATGCACTGATGTGAAGCTCTTGAACTACTTACTGCGCAGCTTAAAACACCTTTCCCTCAACTTGCAATGAAGATCCCTGTGTGTACTAAAATTGGTCACAGGGAAAGGCATAGTTCTTTCTACAGCTGTTTATTTAAAATTTTGCAACTTCTCTCCTTTTCCCCTCTGATTTTCCCCCAAGACACAAATCATACTCCTTGCTACTTTTTCTTTCTCCCCCTTTGTCTGCTTATCTCATATGGAGGGAAGGTGAGGCACTAGCATGTACCAGATGCTGAATAATTGATTTAAAGGTTAGACTGAGAGAATAGCTCTAATGTAGTACATTTAGCAAAATAATTTACACAAAATAAGCTCCAAGTCTTTGCCACATTTTTGGAGAGGTTGCCAGTTTTATTAAATGATAAAGTCTGCTGGTCAGCAAAGATCCTCTGTTGCAAACACTGAGCAGCAAAATACAAATTCAATGGTGACCATTACCCTAATTAATCACTAATTAAAAAAATTCCTTCACTTGTACATCAACAATTAGCTCACTGTACCCTTTGTTATGGGACTTCTACCAACACAGGAAAGGAAATTAAAATTCAGAATAGTATACCTTTTACAATAAAGTTATTTTTTAATCCCACTAACAACTAAAGAACTTAGAATGTTAGAATGTACTCATGAAAACAGGGAGAGTATTTAACTATCTGCACCAGTCTCCAAGCTTGAGGAGCTAGTCCAAGAATGTAGTCCAAGAATTACAAAGAGCACTAAAAATAAGTAAAGTATACTATATATTTCCTTTTTTCTGGGAAAAAAATAATAATAATGCACATAGGCAAAACTGAAATCAGCCCAACAAATGAGCAACTAATACTAATCAAGAATTATTTAACTGGTAACTTAAAAATAAGAAGTAACTATAATAACAATGTAAAATACTAAATATACACATACATGTCATCGTGCCATGGAAATGTTTTGTCAGATGATTTTTTAAAAAGGAAAAAATGGAGAAGACAGTCTCATTAGTGTATGATTCATTAATTACAACCAAAATAAATATAATTTATATCTGCAGTGCAACAGAACCATCTCAGAAGTCAGCAAGTAGCCAGGAGCAAGGGCAGCTTTAAAATTTAGAAAACATGACTAACCCACAGCTAATTATCAAACCTTTTACTAGTTGAATTCGATGTTATTTTAAGTTAGTTAACTTAAAAAAACTACAGGAAAAAAGGAAATACACATCTATAAAATGGTACAAGCTGTCTTTTTTACAGCAAACAAACAAAAAAGTAGATGAACTTTCAAGAGGGTGAATATGTGTTTTACAGCAATAAAACCAAAGTGCATAGTGATATATAAGACAATAACATGAAACAAAATGCAATCAGTGGGGGTTTTTTACACACTAAGTTAGGACTTTCAGTGCTTGGCTCAACTTTGCTCCTTTGACTGAACAGCAGGTGAGATGAGGGGGGGTTTGTGTGTTTGTTTGTTTTTTGCCTTATTTTTCAAGATTTTTGCATGTATAATGTCTTAATTTCACCATGCAGAGAACGGGAAAACTTACAAAATAGGCTTTATACCCAAGTCCTTCAAATTGAATTAGACATAAACCGGATTATAAAAGCTACCTCATTGTTGCAATATTGTCATAAATTTCTTCTTGAAAAGAAAAGCCAGGAATGGCTCTCAGGAGGAGTGGGGGGATCTCCAAGGACAGAACACAGCCAGAGCTTAGATTATTTTAAAAAAAACTTCTGCTACAATAATATACTAGCACTTTCTTGGGATTCTGTGTTCTAAGGTGCTAAAGGGAATGATAAACAAATAAATAGGTCACCAATCATCTTTATGCTGCTAAATAGAGAGGAAGTCAGGTGTACACATTAATCTCTTCACAAGTCTAAGACCAGACAACTGAAATTCACCCTGCCCAGGTTTTTTTTAAGGCAAAGATGATGTAAAAATTAAGGCAAGGCAGTTGCTCCCTACAAGAACTTTAAATTCCACTGCCTTTCTAATAAGTTGAATTTAAAACAGAACTATAGGAACAATTAATAGTTTGGAATTATATTACAGAATCTGCCACAAGTGAGCAATTATAGACTTCAGTTTCCTATGGAACCCCTGAAATTACTCAGCTCCAGTTTAGCTCTTGGGAACAGAGCACAGGACTTTTCTTTTTTAGCTGTGGGAGACTCTACTGTAGAACACCTTACTATAAGAACCTAAAAAGACATTAACCTTGAGATCCATCTTTAATGGAAGGATGTGCCATCTTTCTCTTCATACCCAATTCAAATAAGAAAATGTATGCTACAATAGCTGGAGAATAGGAAAAGGGAATAAACGACTCCTCTTTTAGGGCTCTTCACTCAATTTTGATAGATTTATAGCAGGTATCTTATATGGTAAAGGGAATCTTGTTCAGCCCAGCTCTGCTATAGAATTTGTACCATCCAACAGTGTAAGAACAACTCTTAAAAGCATTTACCTCTTCCATGAACTTCTAACTGTGACCTTACATTAAAAAAAGGAAGGGGGGAAGAGGAAAGATAAAAAGTTCTCAACATAGTCCTCACTGATCTTCATTTATTTCAAGCTCTCATCTCTTCAGTAAACAGTGATACAAACTAATCTTCCAGTTTGGAGAGCTCAGATATGTGACGTTCTATTCCTTGTGCAGAGTATTTACTGTGACATAACTGTTCAGTGCAGTGCCACTGAAAACAGTGCAACCCCTGGTAGGAATTAAAAGGAATTAAAAAATTATACTACTTCAAAGCGATTGATAGGAACCTGAAAATAACCTTCTCAACCTGGATCCGAGATGCATAAAAGATAAATGCATATATTTATTTCACGTTCTGTGAGGAAACTTCCACATGTAATATACTGGGTCTGTCTATTTCCAGAGCTGTCCCCGTGTTCTGACAGAGGAACCGGAGGCAGCGACGGTCGCAGGGAGCCCTCTAGTGCTTTCCCCAGCTGCCTCACAGCGACCCACAGACACAGCTCTCTTCATTTAAGAGTTGTTCAGGCAAAAAGAACTGTTAAATTTTTGCTAATAAAATCCCCTCGTTTGATAGATTTGCCATTATTTTTAAAGCAATCAGATGAACTTTAAAGAAACTATACACATGATGGTCAACAAACAAGATGTTTCATTTGGCCCTAGCCTAGGTAAAAGTGTTGCAGTCCTTTCTTTGCCTCTTGTGGGTATGTCCTGAAGCATCCTCTCAAACCAAAGGCTGAGCACGGGTGTACAGCTCTGTTACAGACAAGCAGAAAGCTCATAC